ATATAAGAACAGGAAGAGAATGGAAGTGTGAGGGAGTGTTACCAGGAAAGCATTGACCCCCTCGCTCGCGGATTTTTATACCCTGAAGATGAAGCCGATACGTTCCTCCGAGACGTCGGTTTACACAACATATACACGGCGCCACATCCCAGAAGACGGCATTCTTCTAAATTTAAATTAGTTGACAAATATTAGTAAACCCAGACGGCCCCTTGTTGTCTAATGGCCAGAGTTCCTGGCTACAGATCCAGAAGGGCCGGGTTCGATTCCCGGCGCTACCAGATTTTCTGAGAAGTAGTGTGTCGCTCGGTCGGTATAGTTAGCTTGCTGACTAAAGCCACGGATTTTTTTAGTAAACCCAGTTCTTTCAAGTGTGTTATCTTCTGGGATGTAACGCCGTGTAATCCGGCAGATGTTTACCGTTTTCGAAGGAATATTTTGCTTCCATCTTCAGGTCTGAAGAGCGACGCAAGAGATCTTCAACCCTAAGGATTTGGAGGCAACTTCTTCCTTAGTAGAATCTGTGGACTTCCGCTGGAGTACACGACTTCACATCCCAGAAGTCACGGCTGAGAGAAATTCAAATCAATCCCATATCACATTTATTTAAAATGTATTAAGCGGTTCTGTAGTTATTTCATGCATGCAGAAAGATGAGGAGAAGCTCGTAGGTATTTTTTTTCGAGAATTCATTGCGAATTCATGAAACATGGAAAATATCCCTACCTTATGAAATATATTTCATATCTGTAGCTGATCAGCGTATGTAGTTTGACACGTGATGTGTCTTTTAGGATTTTATGTTATAAACTGCACATGAAATGTCTGGTACTAGGAAACGACAAAATACATTCCGCTAGAGGCGATTGCGTTCAATACTTGTTAGTTTAATGGACTACAGGGGTCACTGGGGTGGGCTCAATAATTCCAGCCCGCTGAGTCATGTTCGAACGCACTTCACCCATCGTTGATAACCACTAGATCAGATATGCATTGCCATTCAACCAAAATTCTATCCATCGTCCATTTATCAATATCACAAGTACCATCCATAACCTCAGGCCCCATTAAATGACATCTGTAACGTAGGAGGATTGGATTTACAAATACGGAATATCCTATAGAGAGAAACTTCGTTCTTTATGGAACCAGAAATTCGATTAACTTCTCAAAAGAAGCCCACAATTTGATCTTATCATGAGAATTATAATCCAGCTCAATTCCTCGCAATCCACTTCCTTAAGATGCGTTTTAATTAGGCGTGTGCGAAGAAGAATTTCTCAGCCCGAGACGAACATTTGGAAGAATTTAAAGATTTTAGACGAAAACAAGAATTTTCTCTACTATTTTTCTGTAGACACTATATATGACACTAGCCACTCTCAAATTTCTGACATACACGGTGTATATGAGAAAGTGGCACTCCTGTATTCATGAAAAAAAATATAAAAATGTTTTGATAAATTTATATATTTCAGTCCTCTTGGATATAAACAAATCAGTAATTTATGTAGCTCATATCCCCAAATAAAATTGTATAGGCGGTATCTTCATAAAAGTAAATGTATGAACATTGTTGTCCCAAACGTGAAATGTCAGTTTCTCGAAATCGGCGCTACCGGTTGCATATAATTTTATCGTATTTAAGATAATTTTTTAAATGTTTATTTCGATAGAGTAGAAGATTTGGATCCCCCGGGCTCAAGTGAAATAATTAAACAACAATAGATATTCAACAACGCGTACTTGTCGCGAATTGTTTATCCAGTGACTAACAATGTGCTAACAAACAACAATGTTCTCCGTTTCCAAAGTAATACAGACAAGATGAATCGTATATGAGAAAGTGCAATGTCTTTGCAAGTATTTTTTATTTTTGTTTTCTCGAACAGCGTTAACCGATTGATCTTTGTATTGGAGATGTAATGTGTTTCCTATGCGGTACGAACTGAATTTGTATATATTATATAGAATAGATTCAGTCTTTAAATCCCGTGTGAATACCTCCACCTCAGTCCTGCGAGTCGTAGGAGGCGACGAAAAGGGACATCCCGCTTCTTCCTACTTAAATTTGTGATGTTAATCATGTGACTTAGAAGAGTACACAATATACTGAGCATGGTTTTCTTTCCTTGGCACTACAGCCCCAGTGGGCCTAGGCCTACCTCCATGAACTTCTCCGTTCACTCCGGTTTTTCTAGACCTTACACATTCGGCAGGACTCCTTGGGCGGGTGATCAGCTCGTCGCAAGGCCTCTACCTATACACAAACACAGAAAAACGCACACACAAACTAAACATCAATGACCTGAGTGGGATTCGAACCCACGATCCCGGCTTCCGAGCGAGCGAAGACAGTGCATGCCTTAGACCGCTCGGCTACCGTGACCGACTACTGAACAGGTTGTCTTTTGATAATGTTCTAGATGTTTAATCGGGAGATTCTTGGTACCAATCTCGGCCGAGACACTGGAGTTTTCCTCAGTCTCTCCAGGAAAACGACGGAATCATATTTCGACTACGCATTACAGGCTACTTCCAAATGCATTCCTATTCATCATTCACACCTCATTCTAACATTCGACGCTGTGTGATGTAAATATCGTTTGAGTTGTAAAATAACCCACTAGAAAGTGAAAGCAATGGAGATCCTATTCATGCGGTTTAGGTCCACGTTTTCCTTTCAGCAATTTCTTCTGAAATATCCTTATTTCGAATTTTTAAAAATTAAAATTATTCTATCGTAATTATTGTTGAAGAATTCTATCTTCTGGAATATAACGCCGTGTATTTTGATGAAAGCAGAGCTGCTTGATACTTGCTTCATTCTTGTTTCATGTTTGTCTTATTCTTCGGCCATGAAGATGCAGGCTACATATACCTCCGAAATTTCAGTTGGGTTCCAACGGACTACAAAACATTATAACCCAGGATATGAAACTTTAATCACCTCTGTGACAATCTAAAATCCTACGTAATCTTGAAGAAAACAGTCTTCTGGGATTTGACACCGTGTATATGTGGTGTTAACCGACGTTTCGGAGGAACGTATCGACTCCATCTTCAGGGTAGAAGGAAAAATATAAGAAATCCGCAAGCGAAGAGACCGTGAGAACCGGCAAAAGCTTTTACCGGATTTCTTATATTTTTCCTTCTACCCTGAAGATGGAGGCGATACGTTCCACCGAACCGTCTGTTAACACCACGTATACACGGTGCCAAATCCCAGAAGACTGTTTTCTTCATGGTCACCGCCGTGAAAGCCTCAAATCTACGTAATCTTGTTCCACTTTTCAGTTGTGTTCATACCTCAGGAGTGTGTCTCTTGAAATCGTCACTTTTTTCTGCATTTGATCATTTCACTAGTTTCCACGAATTCATTTTCTCACTAATCTGCCACGTGCGGTCTGTACAACCAGGAAGCAAAGCGGGAACGCTATCCAACCAATCGACCATGCATTTATTCAACAGCAACGCAATGAAACAGCCAGCCAGTGGTCTAGCCGACATAATATCCAGACAATCAGTTAGCCAGCCAGTCAGTCAACCAACCGACAAAGCCAGCAGCGTAATTAATGAACCATTCACTAAACCTCGAACCCGTCTCTGACCACATGTTCACCCATCTGACAATGAAAAATGCTATCTTTTGGGATGTGGCGCCATATAGATCTTGTATGAACTGACATATCGCCTCCATCTTCAGGGTAGAAAAATCAGCGAGCGAGGTACCAGCGTAAGCAGGTGGCTGCAGACACTGCTCACGCTGGTTCCTCGCGCGCGGATTTTTCTGCTCTGAACATGTAGGCGATACGTTCCTCCGGAACGTCCGTTCACGCAAGATCTACACGGCGCCACATCCCAGAAGACGGCGTTTTTCCTAGTGACTAAAGACGGGTTTCGGATTGGTGATTGTATTTATTAACCACCTACAGGTCTTAACTAAAAATGATTATTACAATATTACTGATTTACACAATTTAGTCACTCAACACTAATCTTGTATTTCCACTAGTCTCTAGTGTCCGTTTCCTGTCAACGGATTTATAACACAGGAACTATAAAAGTCTCACTCCAGATATCACTGTCCTACAGCAAGCACAAAGTCTTCTAATCACATGTTAAGTCTTCACAGGCCGACTTCTAATTCTTTCTGTAGTACAAACTTCCTGTCGCTGTCTCCTACCGAGAACCGACTTCCTGTACTCTTCTGTACCCCTAGTTCCAATTCGTTCTGAACGTACAGCTCACGGCTCTCCTTATATAGCCGCGGAACGGGTATGGACCTACAGTAAGTAGAGAGTGATTCAGAAAGATGGACACAATTTCAATTGACTATATTTCCTGAACTGTATGTTGCATTTGAATTCTGTAAAGTACATTTGAAAGAGGATGTTACAAAGTTTCTAGTACTACCGCTAGTGCCCTCCATCACTGCGTCCCGGGCCGATCGCGTGTATCGGAGGAGAACGTGGAGTGCATTCGAGTGAACTTTGAGCGCAGCCCAATGAAGTCAACCCGTAGTGCTAGTAGAGAACTTGGACTATCGCAAACAACTGTGTGGCGTGTACCACCTCTTCCCACAAATTTGAATGACCTAAGAAACTGTATCACAGCTGCGGTGAACTCAGTGACGCAAGATATTTGTCATCGAGTGTAGGATGAATTCAGCTACCGTCTAGATGTTATCCGTGCAGCCGGAGGACGGGGGGGCACATTGAACATCTATAAACTTCCATGTATGTATAATCAAGTGTAATTTACAGAATTCAAATGCAGGATATAATTCAGGAAATATAGCCAATTGAAATTGTGTCCATCTTTTTGAATCACCCTGTATATATCACGTGATCGCTATCCAGCCAGTATATTGGCGCGTCTGTTAGGTCCACAGAAAACACCGCTTCATCTATTGTTGCGTGTTGGGCCGTGTTTACAGAGTTGTTACGTCGATCAAATCCTTTACAGTACATAAGTGGTTATTCTAGTATTGACCTTACCTGGAACTGTATACATCAATGATGCGTTTCTCTTGCCGTCGTGAGGGTTAGACTCCACAATAATTTTGTAAGTGCATCCAGGGGTGACCTTGAAGAAGTCCCGAACATCCACATATTCGTATTTCGGGATAGAAATATTCGTGGCATTCTGCAACAGCACAGTGCATTGTATATTAAATCTATCGGTTACGTATATTACATTTTTGTGCTTAAAAGTACGCGATGTTCCCCTTGGATTTTATTAATTTGCATAGTCCATAAGATTTAATGGGCCAATAATTAAATATTGTTACTTCATTTTGAATGTCTAGATTTATTTCATGAAGTTCATTATATTTACATTGATATTGGACTAGTTCTCTCAAATAGTTTAACCCTTTAAAGCCCACTGTTAATATGTCTATCTATGGCCTACAGCCCCTCTGGACCTTGGCCGATTTCAGTTTCTTAATCTATACACAGTCGGCAGGACTACTTGGACCGAGGATCAGTCCGTCGCAAGACCACTACCTACACACAAAACAACATAAACACGGAATAAACGCAAAGAGACATCTATGCCCTGAGTGGGATTCGAACCCACGATCCCAGTGTTTGACCGGGCGAAGACGGTTCATGCCTTGGACCGCGAGGTCACTGTGATTGGTATTAACGTGCTGCTTAGTGCCGGCTGTTTCACGCTTTAGTGATCGATAATGGAATAATAAGATGTAATAATGCATTAACGGATAATAATTATTCTGTTTTCTACCGCCGAAGTAACAGATAACACTCAATTTACTCTAAGAGTCCTGCCAGTATGTACGGTAGCCACAGATGTAAAGCGATCTACAAATATTGCAGCTGATTTTTTTTAATGTTATTCGAATTTTCGTCCCCAATCTCTGTTTCTTCATATGAGTAAATTTTCATTTCTTAATTATTAGAATAACAAGCCATCCATTGTACTAACAGATTTAATGACATGTGAAGCCTTACATGACTCCAATACACAATGATACTATACACAACAAAAAGGCCGCACCATATCTCAAGCGGTTAGTCGCTGGCTTTCCACCGCGGCTGCCCGGGTTCGATCCCGGATTTGTGATGGGCAGAGTGGCGCTGGGGCGGGTTTTCTCCGAGTACTTCGGTTTCCCCTGCCAATCTTCATTCCACCAAATTCCGCATCATCATTAATCACCCGGGGAAGGCTACAATAGGCCAATCAGTGGCCGCCGTGCCGAGTGGACCCAGTTGGACTCCACCTCCCACTAAGCGAAAAGAAAAATGCACTACCAAAAGAGCAATCATAAGTTCTTAACAGCCATGATATAAGGAGTCCAACATTACGCATAAACCAGAAGATGCAACGTGCTGTGATATTTGTGTGCTCTATACAAGGAACTGTACTTTTGCTGTAACAATTTTTTTTAATTCTTAGTGGGGTGAGACAGAGTCCACTTGGTACTGCGGCCACTACTGACCTGTTGTACCGGTCGCAGATGATATATGGTGATGAATGTGCAGCAGACGGTGGAATGAAACTGGCAGGGGAAACCGAAGTACTCGGAGAAAACCTGTACCATCGCCACTTTGTCCACCCTAAATCCAACATGGCCTCACCTCAGCTCGAACCCGAGCTCCCGCGGTGGGAAGCCAGCGACTAACCGCCCGAGCTATGGCACGGCCTAACAACTTTCCAGAATTTATTTCATGTATAAATATTTTATAACTTATAAACTGGGAACATATTTTAAAATTAAAAACAAATGGAAGCTAATTTCCTTTTATTGTCATGTCTCTGAGTATGGCCACTAAGAGACTGAAGTATATGAGGGCACACATATAATTCGATTATAATGTTCAATTTGTTGTACTTCTTGGCTTATTATTCCAATAATTCCTAGAAATATAACGGCGAATCTGTCACAGGCAAAAAAATTAAATCGCTTTTCTTTTCTTGATTTGAATGCTGTGCTTTCCTTAAAGTCACTGATCCTACCTTGTTATGCTGAAGCGAGAAGCTGCTCGTAGTGGGAGAATAGGACATGCATTTTAAGCCTGGAGAAATACATGCTACTGAAATACGCTTGTCTATAACTTGGAGATTAAATGGAATATCGGACTTAATGATTTTAGAATTTTATATTTATTCTGTTTTCAGATCTTTGTACCGTTTTGTCGTGGCTAGTGTTGTAGACGTTTCGGATGTACATCCCGCCTCCATCTTCAGTTTCCAACAGACTTACAGGGAAGGGTACCTCTTTTTGGGCCGATGGGGATTGTGAACAGGAACATGTTATCAAAAGAGCCCTTTCAAATGAAGTTACCGTCAATATTTTCCTTCCAACTGATCCTATTAGCCCGACCAGGCATGAAACCCTACCCCTCCCCCTCAATATCCCGGCAGAACTTACCTCCGAAATGTTGGTAACAGTCCCCATATCCACGCAGAGTACAGAACCAAGATGAAAATCAACACCAGCCAAGGAGATGTCAGAATTGGAAGCTCCTCTTTCATTTCGATTTCAGGGGTTACGTAATTCAATACACGGAATCTAATTAAGTTGTCAAGGAGGAATGAATTCAGGATTAACCGACTTTAATCAAGCAGCCAGATGTTGTAGTTAGAATTAGTCGGTACAATTTTATTACGTGCCTTGCCAAATATAACATTGTCCAGAATGATAATAGAAGTGAACAGCCCTCCGTTCATTGAATATTGCCGCTTCTGCAAGCGTAATATAATAATATTTACCCTTTGTCTTATTACACGAGGTTGTTCTTTTAGAAAATTGTACATGGTCGGAATTATTCGGTGGCTTCTCTTCGTAAATACTTGTTTTGAAACAAAAATTCTGACTTTGAAGGATAAGAATAGACATCAAAAGAAAGGGATCGTAGAAGGAGCATTTTTCAGGTTAATCCTCTCATAAGCAGAGATAAGATTCATTCAACACGAGCCCCCGAATTGAAAGCTAGTTCTTTCATATTTCTAAATTATATTTTTCTCAGTTGAACGTAATTTATTTCCTTTAAAGTAAAAGCGAAAGGGTTTATTTATGTGTTAATATAAACAATTGTTAAATGTTTATTTCTTACTTGCCGATTACAGTGACCGCGCGGTCTGAGGCATGAAATGTCTTCACCCTCTTGAACGCTGAGATCGTGGGTTCGAATCCCACTCAAGGCATGGATGTCTGTATGCATTTATTCTGTGCTTATGTTGTTCTGTGTGTAGGTAACGATCTTGCGTTGGGCTGATCTTCCGTCCAAGGATTCCTGCCGACTGTCTTAGATTAAGAAACTGAAGTGAAACGAAGTATTTCACGGATGCCCTATGCACCATTTTGGTGCAAGAGTGATAGATAGATAGATAGATAGATAGATAGATAGATAGATAGATAGATAGATGAGGTGCATAGACTAGAATTGACATACTGGAGAACTTGTTGACGTGCACAGATCACCAGAGATTCAGGCAGTGAATTCTAGGAATATAAAGACGTGTAGGGACTATTTATGGTGACTATTTGCAAGACAAGGAAGGAGATATGATATAGACAGTAGAGGGTAGTGTCTGGGGGTGTAGCTAGCTGTGATGTTGAAGTTAGGGTTCTGCTGCTATTAACACAATAGAACAACTCGAAGGGTCAGTAGCGGTACTATCAGCATTTATTGTGGATCCTGGGTCAGTTCCAGCAATAACCCCACCTCGTAAGCTAATATCTTAAAATCCGTATTAATTTTCCTTCTTTCCGATATACCATGTAAATATTTCCAAATAGTCTCCCCACAAAAATTTTGTAAGTATTCCTTGTGGCCACTTATCTACAGACCCAGCCCATTTTCCCATCCTGGATAAGAGTGTCCATGAATGCTACAGATTTTATTACCCTTCATATCAGCGATGAGCTCTATCCGCCTCGAAACAGCATTGGCCGACATTCAAATGTTAGTCAGGTGCATTTCAAAATGTACATTTCATTTGTCAATTCTGTTTTACCACAAATTTCCTTGCTGTAATTTCACCGCAACAGTCGTCAGAGACCCAAAGATTTGACAACAGCGCTACATTTTTCTGCTTATGACGGAGCTTTTTTTTTTTATTGCTAGTGGGGTGGGACTAAGTCCCTTGTACTGCGGCCACTTCTGGTCTATTGTACCAGCCCCAGATGATAGGTGAGGGTTATTATGGAGCAGTTGGTGGAATGAAGATTGGCAGGGGAACCGAAGTACTCGGAGAAAAACCTGCCCCAGCGCCACTTTGTCCACCACAACTCCCACTTGACCGAACCCGGGCCGCCGCGGTGGGAAGCCAGCGACTGACCGTTTGAGCTATGGTGCGGCCATGTTGGAGCTTGCTACTTCTCACGTAGGCTGGACCAGGGATCATTACTTATCGGAGAGATTGTAGGTTTCCTTCCTTAAGTCATAGATGCTCTTTATCCGTTTACAAAATTAATTTTCCTGCCTCATGAATGGCCCATGAAACAATATTCTGTCTTCTAAGCCACTCGGTTGCTTTTGTGTGATCAATATACAGCTATATCTAATGATACCGAATCATCAAGTGGTAACGTACGAGTAATTACCATGTCATCATTAGAATGCTACTGCATCCTGTCTTCAGCATATCATGAGAACAGAAATTGCCACATCCTGCATCTCGTTCAGTTAGCAGAACTCTGTTTTCATTCTCAAAGATATTTCAGACAGAAAGTCTGTTGAATATTTAACTCTGAAGTGGTTCGTAATATAAACATTGTAACGTGTTTTGTCTACTGAAGACAGCAACACATGACAATACACGTAATAAATATACACAAAATTATGATTATTTTTATAATTTAGCAAATACATTAATAGACACTGAATTTGAAACAAATTTTTATCAGCAGGAGATTAATTTCGGTGTTACTTTATCTTGCGAAATTTATGAAGAAATTCACTTACCTTATTATCGATATGTTTGTAGTATTGAAGGATTTCACAGCTTTCGAGTGTATTGTTGGGTTTCACATGCAAGTTGTAACCCAACGGCCGGGTTCCGGCTGCAAACAAACAAACCTATTATCATTATGCACAAAACAATAATATTTCCTTGAAAAATATATGCATTCCTTTAAAGTTAATTGTTACTTTCAGGTTCCCTGCGAGGTTCGGTGTCTATAAATGGACAAATACTTATCTGACTGCCGGTCAAATGCCAACAATACAAATGAACTTAAATTTCGATATAAAATCCGAACTGTACACTGGTAGCTTATCACTAGTTCATACCGAGGCTCTTAGAAGGAGGGCTAAGACCAAATTCCTAAAAAAAAAAAAAAATTGAGTTCATTGACTGCCTTACTTTAATAATGCAACCAGGATTGAGCAAGGAAAAAAAAGCAGTTCTGGTGATTTTATAAGCTTTTGAGTATTCTATATTTTGTGCATATATAATAAACTGTTTTGGAGGCTCGTGATGTAGATATAGTAACATTAATGTTGACTCGTTGAGTCGTTGTTTACATTCCCTACAGAACAGACAATACTTTGTAAGATGAGACACCGATTAAATAATTAACATTAATATTACTACATCTACATCACGAGCCTCCAAAACAGTTTATTATATATACACAAAATATAGAATACTCAAATTTGTCCGTGGAATACAACAAAATCACAAAAACCAACGACTGACTCGATGATGTAAAGCATTACTCGAATAATTTTTATTCTTGTTTTATACTATAACTTTTGTTTCATATAATTTATGTTAATTTATTATATTTTTACGCCAAGTATTTTGATATAATTAATATTATTGTATCCAATTTTATTAGTACTGCAGTTCAGTGGTGTATATATGTTAGCCATGTATTTGCCTGATGATGGCTTTTAATAGGCGAAACATGTAGCAGGGCCAAACTATGCACTGACCTTAATATAGTTGTGTTGTGACAGTTTTAATAAAGAAATTCTATATTATAATGCAACAGGATGCATTAAATGAAAATTATAAATGGAGTGTTTTTGGTAATAATGTTACAGGACACGTTTTATAAAGTGACGCAGGGGATAGAGTTCCAATTGCGAGATGAAGTCTAGTGCTCATATTTCAAGTTGCATAGCATATGAGACGGGTATAAAGAATTCGAGAACAAATCTTATTTTCACCGCTTCGTACATTAGCCGGGGATCTCTTATTTTCGCAATCCTCTATATCAGGTATCCCTACATTTTCTTTAAATTAAAATACCTGTAAGGCAGTCTTATCCAAATACTGAGAGAACCGAAGGATTATGAGGTCTATATGCAATTCCTGATCCCAAAATATTATAAACTTTACAACAACCATTTTTGGACCTCACGTACCCTATACCCTTGGGCAGTTTCGATATCATTTCTACGTTTAAGTCCTGGAAAATGAGTTTCCTCTGCAATAAATTTAGTGTCACTTTGATTTTATACAAAATAAAAGAGTTTGGACAGATCCTTAAACGATATATGAAAATGATTATATCATAGTTAGTAAAGTATTTTTCATGAAATTCACGTATATAGCACAAAACAATTGAACGGATATGGCGTAGAAGTAGTCATTGAAGTTCTATTCCTTTCAGTCGATGAAACCGAGCCCTAGTATTGCTACGTGTATCCTTTCCTTATGAATTTAATCTTTATTTTTTATTCTTTCTTTCATCATTTCCTTTCATGTATATATCATATTTCTTCCATTTACGGTATCTGAGCCACTGTATAATTTACATATTTCGCGATAGATAAGTCGATATAAGGAGACGGGATAGCGCAGTCGGTATAGCGACTCGCTACGGGCTGGACAACCGAGGGTTCGGAGTTCGGGTCCCGGTAAGGTAAAGAATTTTCTCCACGTCGTCCAGACCGGCTCTGGGGTCCACCCAGCCTCCTACCCAATGGGTACCGGGGGCATTTTCCCCTCAAGCTAAATTGGCCAGGGTGTAAAGCTATCCACTTATCTACAACTAGTGCCCAAGCCAAAAAACGTGGATCTATACGTCCACTCCCCCATACACCTTCATGCCATGGTCTTTTATTACCTAAGCACAGGGACAACTTTACCTTTTTCAGGTCGATGTACTGACGAGGCTGCTAATTGAGGAATTGAAGTTCTTCTCCATAACGGGTACTGCTCTGACTGGCTCTGGGTTCGACTCCAGTGAGGGATCATTTTCCGGGGATAAAGTTGACCTCAGCACCATCTAGTGTCGGGTAAGTAAGCGTGAAACTGTACCTCAGCTCTCCTAATTGTGTTCTTAGCGTAATGATTATTTGTGCACAAAAAATCTTTCTCTCACCGTTTTGTCTGATATAACGACACGTTGAACTGTTCAGATTTTATAGCACAGAGTTTGCATAATAATTAGTGAATAATTAATTGGAATCCCATGTTAGGTGGATCGCGTGCCGCAACGGCATGGCGCGTCCTCAGGTTGCGGATGGAGGAGACGGCCTCCAGATATGTAGTGTAGCTGCAAATATATTGAATAAGCAGTCTCGGACAGCCGACAAGGGGTGACGCTTCAGCTTGAGAGTTGGGCGTGGGGCTAACAAATTCTTTACCTTAAAAATAAGCTTGTTATGAAAGATTACAAGAAGCCTCATACCTAGACGGATCCTCTGGGTAAACAACCTAAGCGAAAGAAAATGGATATGAGATTTGGCACCTGGAACATCAGAAGTACGTGTATGTATAGGGCAGTGGCGGAAGAAATCTCAAAATATACGTTAGATTTAGCGGGAGTACAGGAGCTCAGATGGGATGGAGGTGGCATCGCACAAACAGGAGACTATACATTCTTCTATGGAAAGAGGAATGAAAATCATGAATTAGGCACAGGTTTTTTCATACATAATATTATCATATCGGCAGTTAAGAGGGTAGAGTTTGTTAGTGATAGGTTATCATACACAATACTAGGAGGTCGCTGGTATGATATCATCGTTCTGAATGATCATGCCGCAACATAAGATAAAACTGATGGTATGAAGGAGCGGATCTACGAAGAACATGTACTTAATAAAATCCCTAAGCACCACATGTAAATTTTGTTAGGAGATTTCAGTGCTAAAGTAGGTAAGGAAGTCGTTTTTAAACCAACGATTGGGAACGAGAGTTTACACGAACTTAGTAATGATAATGTAGTTAGAGTAGTAAACTTTGCCACATCCAAAAATCTTACTGTCAAGAGTACGATGTTTCCACGTCGTAATTTTCATAAATTTATTTGGACATCTCCTGATGGGAAGATACACAACCAAATAGGCACGGGACAGACAACGCATCACACTAAACACATGTCACGTGAAAGCTACCCACTACTATTGTGTGAGATCATAGCGCGCACGTTGCATAGCAACGGTGCGTCCGCGGACATAGAAAACGCTGTTCGTATACTGTTGGCCGCGAGTGTGTTGCGGGCGTTGTCTAGGAATTGACGATGTTTACACATTTACTGCTTAGCAACGGGTCTATACGCCAGAGTGTAATCCGTATAGGTAAACATTTGTCTGATAATTTTCCTATCCAGAATGGTCTAAAGCAAGAACATCCCTTATCGCCACTGATTTAAACTATATCATTAGGAAAGCCAAGGAAAACAAGGCGAAACTCAAATTAAATGGGACACATCAGCCGCTGGTCTATTCTGATGTAATCTACTGGGTGATGATATACATACCAAAGAGAAAAACACACAGACTTTAACTGACGCTAGTAAGGAGGTTGGTCTGGAAGTAAACATAGAGAAAACTCAGTATATGTTGCTGTCTCGACACCAGAGTGCAGGGAAAATCATGAAGTAAAGATAGACGCTACTAAGGAGGTTTGTCTAAAACTCGGTATCTACGTTTTATTTTAATTAAGCAGTTTCAGGTTACTACAACAACGAAAGGTCAAACTCTAATATATTTCACGGATATAAGACATGCAAGTTTGTAGTCTTTCCCTTCAGTACATCGTGTCTATTCTGTGAATATTGATTAGTATTCTGATTTGTATATATGAAGTATAGTATACTCTATAAAGGAAAATATTGTGTGTATTATTCGTGGGAGACTGCGTAGAACGTCGTCCTCTACGTATTTACGTAAGAAAGAACGGGAGAAAGCAGTGAAAGTTATTTGTAAGAAAGCTTGCATATGAAATTATGAAACTTACAGCTGAATTCACAAAGGTTGTTAAATTGTCTTAAATTAATTTCTTTGACGTATGTTTCAAAACTCTACTACAGTAGAGCACTACGTTAAAGGAACAAAAGATATCTGTTTTTTAAACTCAGTCTTAAGTCAGTAAAGTCTTTCTCTTGTTTAGTTTTCCTTAACCGCGATTGTGTTGTCGAGGTCGATTATTAATTTTTGAATATGAAAGTTTCAAAATGTACTCATTACATCGCCTTTATTTACTCTTAATCCCATGAAAAGCCTTCGAAAGCCTACTCATAAAATTTGTCTTCCTTAATTATCTTAAAGACAGGAAGACGTACGGAAGAAGAAAGTTGGTCATAAAGTGTGTAATATATACTTTTCTATGTTATCTGTACATTGTTCTTTCCTTAATATTTATTCAGATGGGCAGGGAAACGCATTTATGTAAAGTCGTCATTAAGCATGCACAATTTAGATGAGAATTTCAGTTACTCCACAGTTTCCATAAAGTACACAAACGTCATACTAAATGAAAATCCGTCCAGTGGCTCTCGAATGAAAACGTGAGGGTAAACAGACAGACAAGGCCAGTTCTATATATACATACATTCATTTCATGCACATCATGTTAAAGGCTCGAAATAAAACTAATTAACTTTCTTGTGTTTGCATTCCTCGAAAAGTTCATTGTTTGTTAGGTGGTATTATTTCTCTGCTTTAATGGCCCTGAAGTTCTCATACCGAATAATATTATCGTCTGGAACGTAAAGCCATGTAGTCTGTTGAAAGCCAACCTACGTTTCGGAAGAACATGTCGCTTCCATCTTCAGGGTGGAAGAATGAGCCAAGCAAGAAACTAACGTGAAAGCAAGTGGCAAGCTGTGCTCTGTTTGCCACCAGCTTTCACACTGTTTCCTTCTTCTTTATTCTTCGACCATGAAGATGGATGCGACATGTTCCTCCGAAACTTCGATGGGTTTTCAAACTAATGTGCGACGTTATACGCCAGAAGATAGAATTCTTCATAACCACGGCTGTGAGAACCTCAAATTCTACTTTTAATTCTGGGTTTAAAATGTCCTTAATTTATTCAATCCTCTTTATTTTGGTGTTAATTGTGTAATAAAAAGCCTCCGAACACAACTTATATTAATGTCATACAAGTGCATAAAAATAAGAACTTAATTTAAACTAATATATTTTTCCGAATCTTTTTTCATCATTAGCTGATTTATATTTAATAGAAATCATTATGTTTAAGTTACTACATTACTTAACGTACGTCCAAGTTCAGTTAAGTTTAAAAAGTGTTGTAAAATTGTGAATTATATCGTCACATGATATAGTGACTATAGACGGTGTTTGAATTGGTGATTGGATTTATTGAACCCTTACAGATCGTAACTACAGCGCTATCGCTAATTCACACACTACAGTATGCTATAGCACGCCAAATTCTTTTTCAGTCTTCTGTGTCTTTATCCGTCGTTGCCTGGTAACGGCTTCCAAACCATGTTCTTCTTACTCTTGGTTCCCAAATTATCCCCGTGTCTCAGCTACCAGCTCCTACAGCAACAGATCACAGCGACTGAACCGCAGCCGTCCTCTCACTCACCAACCGACTCGCTCCACTGCACTGCACTGCACTGCACTAAATGAACTCAGATTCAGAGTCACATTTACTTTATGACTGGCTGTTTACCGCCGATCAGTTAGTCTTGGTGCCAAGCCCCTCGAGGGTCTCGACCAGAATGTCTTTTGAACTGAACCCTTGCGGTCATAGTCCTTACGTAACAACCTCACTGACGAGAGAACGGGTCTGTCGTTTACAATTTTTGATGGCCTTTGCCAGCGCAGTCATTGTTGGGTTCGAGTCCCGCAGAACTTCTAACCTTATTGTATAACCTTATCGACCAGAATGTCTTTTGAACTGAACCCTTGCGGTCATAGTCCTTACGTAACAACCTCACTGACGAGAGAACGGGTCTGTCGTTTACAATTTTTGATGGCCTTTTCCAGCGCAGTCATTGTTGGGTTCGAGTCCCGAAGGACTTATAACCTTATTGTATTGTCTCAGATTGGAGACTGCCCCAACCTGGAGGGCCAGGTTACCATATTTATATCGCCAGGAACAGGGTGGTCCAGTTATACTCCTAGGCACTGGATCGGTGGCGTGATATAGGCCCGGAACGGACGACATAGAAAACACTGCCTCCAACAGTACTTCCATTGTTGCGCGCGGTCCGCTGCGTAGCGACTGCCGTTGTCTCCGGTCGTTGGCTAGCAGCAGGTGCTGTTCGTGTGTGTTCATCAGTGCTCTATGTTTGCCATTCTAATCCTACACAGTTTAGAAGTCCTAATATTATTCTGCTGAAGAGCGTAAATAATGAAGCTCTTTAGTATGTAATTATTTCCGTCCTTGTCTTCTTCTCCTGCTAGACCTGAATGTGTAATTTCCACATTTCGCTTTCAAGCACCTCCACTTCCAAGTTGTTCTCTCCTTGGAGTGAGAGTTAATATAATTGAGTATAATATAAACTACATAAAATTCTTAGAGCTATCCTTCTCTTTGAATTTAAATTATGAACGTGGCGTTTCTAGGAACATTCCAGAAATAAGCACATCAAATATTCTCCCCATTACAGTGCTTTCTGGCGGAGACAGCTGCCAGGCATACATGTTAAGTGGAAGTATAAATATACACCTGCCTATGAGATTTCACAACGCTCTCCAGTTTGCAATTGCTTTGTATCTGACATCGGATCTCTGGCGAAGCGGATTCAATCTTATCCATCCCGTTACATTTCATTAATAAGAAATTTTGAATTTATTACTACACTTCTTTAAAGAAAAACGTATTTCATTTTTGTATATATATTAATAAAAAAAATCCGAATTAAGTTATATAATTGTTTCACAATACAACCGAATAGTGAGCTAATTTGCTAAATTCGGTTGAAATGGGTTTCAAATAGTAGAATTCTATCTAAACTAAACTAAAAACTAAACTCCGTGGTTCTGGTCCGCAAGCGAACTATACCGACAGAGCTACCGCCGCTTATCGG